GCTACTCTGTGGGCAGCTACCTTTCGGCGAGAACGCTGACAATGACAGGGAGGCATGGGCAGCCAGTCCAAATATGGCCATGGTTGGGCCCCGGACCATTGTGCGTGAGCTTGCTGTACCAGATCTCGTTGAATCCTAAATGGACATGGGAAATTCCCTTAGTCCTCCTGGATTTGTGCTAAGGTGAATCTCCATTGCGCCGAACCCTAAATAGAGGGCCAACACTTATTGTGACAGTCTTGGGAGCAACCGCGTTCCTTAGCCCGGTTGCGTTGCTTTCTTTATGGCTAACAGAGAAGCATATGGCTGTGGGTCAAAACCAATGGGATCCCATTTTGGTTGGTAGGTGAATTCACCACCCATTTTAAAACCTATTTTAGTGGTTGGATTGACTCGGATGTCCACAGGGGTACGATTTGGATTTTGACCCACGGCCAAAAACAAATCAAGCCAAAGTCTCCCCTTGCGGGTTGGTCATCCTTTTCGCTCCGAAGCCACAAAGATTGGCGGATGGTCCACGTTCCTATCGACAGCTTAGAACTGTGCCAGGTCTGCCGAGCAGTGTTGGCTGGGAATCCTAAGATTCCAGAGCAGCTTGAGCCTTGCTCAAAGGCTCTCGTTGTCTGCCCGGCCATGGTTCGAACAGAGCGCGCGTGCCTCACGCCATGCAAGTGAAGGGAGTGTCGTACTTAGGACATGCACGAAGATAGCTTTGGCTCCTTGCTTTGACCCACCTTGAATTCCCCACTGACCAGCAAAAGTCGTTGAACTGTTTGCAGAATCCCACTAAACAACCCAAAAGGGGTCAAAGACCAAAGACCTCTTTCAGGAGCACGAGGCCTGGCACCATGCCAGCCATCCATTTTCCAGGGATTCGAAGCCGGACAAAAAAAGAACAACTACAAGGGAACGGTTTATGAGAAAACGATGGTTGGACAGAATGGTTGGAATCAACCCCTTGACCTCATACTAAGCATTGCGGCAGTGATGTTATACTATAACATTGTCTACTGATAGAGACCTCACATTTGTGTGTGTGCGCGGCCAAACGCCCATCAAAGTTCCATTCTTGGGGATTCCGTATTTTCGCCCATCAAAGTTCCATTCTTGCGGATTCCGTATTTCAGGTTTCGAATTTCTTCAGATCTGCACGCAATTTCACCTTTTGGTGGCATCTCCTTGTTTTGATGAGTGAAGCGAAGAAGCAAGCATGTCATTTGGACCTGTCCGAGGTGTACAAAGAGCGATGTTCCAAATTTAGGCAACGGCTGAAGTCCCAAACCAAAACAACTAGGAATCCACAAGACGGTGGAAGATGGTCCAAACCCAGCGTCGTGCGGAGAAGTCTGTTTTTGGGCTTTTGGGCAATAGGTTCCTCCCGTTTGCTTTTGGGTAGCCCAGGTAACCCCTCAAAGCGTAAGCGGAAGGAACCTTAAGATTAATAGCCGTATTTTGCTGTTTGCTTGAACAGGCAGCCAACAAGTGACGGCAACCTGTTTGCTTTTCTAGCCACAGATTCGGAGTTTTTGATCATGGCACAACTGTTATCTACCCTAAGTATGGTGAGTTCGGTACAACGAGCTCTGACTAGAGTTGCTTGGATGATGTTCTTCTAAAAGGACCCTTTGCAGAATTTCATTGTTGGTGTTGACTCAAAGAAGGAAACTTGCAAAAACAACCACCCATTGCAAACCCACCCACCCATTGCAAACCCATTGCAAGATGGACCAATTCATTGGAAAAAAAGAAAACCGGAAATTATTGAATTGCAATTTCATTGCGAGAAAAAGCAAAAGAACAACCCACCCATTGCATTGCAAACCCCTTGCGAGAAAAAGAAATAAACACACACAAAAGAACCGCAGATGGACCGATTTCTGCGGGAGAAAACACGCACACACACACACAGACACACACACACACGGCCATCTTTGGTGCATTTTGCTTGGATGTTAGGACTTTAACTTTTTGCCAACTAATGGGTTTTCCATTAAACCACTAAAAGTTATTCACTTTCAGCAGGGGAGCAAAGCAACCGAGCCATGACTTCTTCTCTTGCCAGGCAAATCTGCTGGAGCCGCGGCCGCGGCGGCGGCTGGGCTGCGGCGCCAACGGCTTGCATGACATCAAGGCAGGGCCCCCGACGGAAGCAGCGCCCAGAGTTTTTTTTTGTTTTTTTCTTTTGCAAGGGGGAGACGTCTTTTGTTGTTGTTGTTTTTTTTGGGGGGGTGGAGGGTGGGGGGGTTGTTTGTAAATGTTTCTTGTAACTGTAATCTCGGACCCTCTTTAATTTTGGCGGCTCCCTATAGCTGAGATGTTGTCCCCTAGTTGAGGGGTCCTTTGTTACAGATTTGTTTTTTCTCACTCCATCAGAAAAGTGGGTGAAAACAGTGTAAACAAATGCAAGCCTTCTTAAGATAGAATAACAGATCAAGGCCTTAGGTTCTAAGAGCCTTAGAAGGGTTCTTGAACTGGTGGGTCGGGGGGCCAAATGCCTGATCCTCAAGTCAGTGGCCAGTCAGATGCTCCAAAAAGCACCAAAACAGGAGAGTTTGCTGTTGGAAAGGTGACGTTTGAAGGGGAAATATATACCGGTGCTTGTGAATTCGGCGCTTTCTCTTCCTGAATCAATTCAGGAAACCAGCTGCAAAGTCTACAGAATGTTGGGCAACCAACCCAGACTACACAATTTCTTGTGGGTGTCGTCGAGGAAAGCGACGGTCAGCACTGGGGCTGGTTGCAAACTTTGTTTCATGTTCTGTCTTGGCCTTTATCGGAAAGCCGAAAGGAAGTTGCTTCAACTAGTTCAATCATGCTAAATATCAGTTGGGATGGAGCCGTGAATGAAACACTCTAGCTGGTGCGAAGTGGATATCCACAGTGGTTTAAACATGCCTCAACCAGGCGTTGAGTTGCCCAGCGCTCGCTATCCCCCTCTGCGAGGAGAGCGGCTTCTTCCTCGATTCCAAACGGAATGGCGATGAGGCGTCGACTTTCCAAAGGTTGCTTTCCGCCTCCCAGGCAAGGGGGTGTGTCTTTTTCTTGCGGTTACCCAGGTTTTTTTCAAGGGGCATGGTTTGAGAGAAAAGCCAAAAGGACAACCATCATGTTTAAAAGGCCCCTAAAAAAGGCACACCTATGTGGGTCTGTTATCAAAGAGGATTCGGACCCCAACAATTGTCGTTGTCCATTTCCGCCTTGAAACCACCCCCAAAAGAGTACCCACAACAAAATCATGCCCAAACAATTCAGAATGAACCAAAAAAAAAAATGGCAGGTGATTCATATTATTATTGGCATGGCGCATCAAAATAGGGGGAAACCCAAAATGGCGGTGCTCCTTTTCGTTGTCCTTCCTTGTAACCAAGTGAAAAGGGCACCTTCCAAGAAAACTCCCACATGAGGAGAGGGAAACCGGGGGGGGGGGGTGGGCAAAACCAAGAAAAGAGTTCGAGCCAAAACACAGATGATTCGTTTGAGAGAGTTCCATCATCCGCGGAGCAATCGTCCTCCCTCTTTTGTTTGCCTCAGACCCTTCAAGGGCTCAGCGAAAGCAAGGCACACATCCAAGAAGAAGGAGTGACAACGGAAAGGGAGGTCAGCAGAAAAGATGCCCCCCCGGGACCACACACACTGGGGGTGCTAGGGTCGAAGAACAGGCAGGCAACCGCGGGGGGGGGGGGGACTTGGGAGGGAGATGTTTGTCGCCAGGTGAGAGCCCGAGAGGATGAGGACTACTTCACGCGCTTGCTCAGTCTGTGGGCCTAGTCTAAGCAGGTTTGAAGGAGGCAAGGGGCGTAAAAACATTGAAATTTACAAGCCTATTGTGGCCATATGGGACGTAGGCCCTTTCCACGCATGTGGTGTTTTGTGACATGCTGGTCTTATTCACAGGGAGATTGATCCGTTGTTCATCCTTGATTTTCTGGCTGACTGGTTGGCTCGGCGCAGTTCAGCGGAAAGGGATTTCGGCATGAAGCTGCCCAGGTTTCTGAGGGAGAAAACCGCACAGCTTCAGGATTTGTGGGCTCGGCAAAATCGCAGCCCAGAGGATTGATGTTGTATAATTTTGGCAGGTTGATGCTTACTCGTTTCAGCAGCGGTGGCCAACAAGCAAGGCCGAACCTTGCCGTGATTTGCCGTGCATTGCAATGCGCAGCAGCATCACCGTGCACTGTCTATCCCCACCGTTTATTCCCAGCGTTTGTTCCCGCAGTCTATTCCCGCTCTCTCCTCCCTTCGTCTTGCTTACAGTTGTATCCCATTGTCCATTCCCAGCCGTATTTCCACCACCGTGTATTCCTGCCGTCTATTCCCAGGTTTTGTTTTTCCGCACCGTCTAGACCCACTGTCTTTTCTCACCGCCTATTTCCACCCGCCATTCCCACTGTCTATTCCCCCCAAGCCCCGGTCAGAGCTGCTAGAACTAGCCGCGCTGCATAGGACCTGGTAAGGTCAAATGAATTCAGGTACCTTCCGTCCTGATTGCTTCTTTTGGGACGGTACACCGACAACATACCTCTCAAACTACCCGAAAACATAGGACATCAGCCCACAATTTGCCCCATACACCATGTTGAATTCTGATGGCCCGGAATGATTTCCCCCGTTAGTCGTGACTTGATTTGGTCCTGTGGTGCTCCAAACCTCTACCCCTAGTTGGTGGCTTGGATTGGTGGTAACTGGAGATTTGAACCCCTTCTTGTGGGTAAATAAACGGTTTACCCCTCCCCCAAGCCACCGATTCGGCTCGCAACCACCAACTTGAGGGAAGCTAAGATTCAGTTGTTTGGTTCACCCCTAGCCGTCACTTCGCGTTGCTTCACCGTCCCAGGCCGCAAGCTTGAGGCGCCCATCCGACCCCCCGTCAAGGCGACGGCTTGGGGTTGTCTCTGAATGGGTACTACCCCTTCTGAGTTGGCTTGGGCTCCGAGTGCGGCTTCTTTTTTTCGCGGGCTAGGGCTCCCAGGATTCATTCGTGTTGGGGATACCACTTGAGCTTATTCAGTTAGGGAGTGGCTGGAAAAAGCGAGCGCAACTTGGCCATGGGTTTGTTTAGATTGCCATTAAGGGCAAACTGGTTTCACAGATTGCCACTGCCTGTGAGCTGATTTCTGTGATGCGAAGTCATAAAGTAGTGTTGATGACCTACTTTGGTATCAATGGGTGGTTGTCCACAGCCATGTGTTTCTGGACGAATTATGGCCTCAACTGATCAACACTCGGGAAGTGGGTGAAATTGAATGTTGCTGGAGCCAAGGGACGTTTTTGGACAAGTAAGGTAGACGGACAGCAGGCGACACGGAAGTGCCGTTTCGGTATGCGGGTCGACTTTCCGCAACCGTGCGTAGGACACTCCGGAGAAGCCTGGTGAGACTCTCACCGACTACGAGGAGGAGATTTTGCCGAAGGAGCAGCGAAGCAAAAGCAATGGAGCCACGTACCGCTAGGCGACTGGGGGGCCGGGCCGCGCTCGGGCTCTCAGGGGCTTCTCCAACCGGGCCGAGCAAGCAAGGGATGGTCACCTAGGTGTTGGTTTAGACATGAACCACTCAAGCCCTTTCTGAAGACATGTCAAATGTGCCATCAGTTGTTTTGCCAAATAATATATTTTTGGCTGAGGGTTGCTCGGCAAGTTCTCGTCGGGAGGCATTGGGACGAAAGGCAGAGCCAACGTGCTGTGTTTGAGGGTACCCTTTGCGGGTTTACAGGGAAACCAACATGAAAGACCTCTTTGACCCATACCAGACAGGTTCTGTCCAGGGCGTTTGGAAATTAGGGGCTTTTCGTGGATGTGGTTTTCAAAAAGCTTCCCTTGACCAGCTGAAGAGCACCCCTGATGAGTCCCAAAACGCTTTGGGCGCAATCACTCTCATTCAGCACCCCTCCAATGGGGTGGGTTGAGGGTTGGATAGTCGTGAGTCTTTCGGTGGCTTCCGAGCAAGCGCTTCGAAGCAAGCCTCTCCGGCTTGGGCCGCAAATTTGGGGACCAACCTGTTCAGCTGGCCGTGAGGCAAAAAGTCCAGCTCTGGCTGAGGCCGATGCCTGCTGATGTCCTAGATTAGGGGAGCTGCGAAACCCCACGCCGAAACCCCACGGGCAGCTGAACAGGTTCTGTCAAGGGGCCGAAACCCCACGCCGATTTTGGGCCTAGCACTCAAGCGACCGCGAGGCGAGCGCCGAGCTCGGAGCCGAGCCCTGGAGATTCGGATCGAGCTCTGCGCGCCGAACAAACTGGCGCTCGCTCGCGGCCGAAAGAGCCGAGTGCTGTCAAGGGGCCAAGGTGTTCCCACTTCTGTGGTTCATTGTCTTTTTTTTTTTTGTTCTCCCCCGTTTAAAGGGCAGTCCATGCAACTCCGTGGACATTTGTATGGGTTCATTTGGGGACAAGAATTGAACCTTGAACTCATATTTGAGCATATATATATATATATATATATGGGCTGGCGGGCTACCCACGAGCTGTTGTTGTTGTCCGTTGCTCTGACCTCGCAACTGTGCACATCTTTTGCTCAACAGGATCTCGAAGATTGCTCGGAGATGCTGAAGCTTGCATCAAGGCACCTCGCTGGCAAGGCCTCGATGGACAGACATGAAGGGTGTGTGGGTCGCCTCCTTGGAGGATTGACTTGGCCAGATTGAAAACCACCTCCAACCTGTTCAAAGTTTTTCTGTATCTGCCATGTGATGTTTAGGTGTATGCTTTGAGAGACCCCCTGCTACTGGATTTGCTCAAGCACATGCCTTGCAGAGTGAACTGAGGCATAGTGCAGAGCTACTTGAGCGAGCAACCTTGTCATTGATGGCAGCAAACTTCGACTCCCCGGAGGCACGGCACGCTGTTAGGTTGCACAGATCGTGGCGTCGCCCGGTTGGCCAGCAGTGATGAAGTTTTGGAGCGCAACTTCTTAGCGCGGTGCAAGGAGACTCAAGCACACAAGCGCCGAGTGGTTCGTAAACATTCCGGTCATGTTATTGAAACGGTTTTTGTTTTACCAACAACGCAGGTGGACGACTCATTTCTTCCCATGTCCTTTCGGGAATATCGAAGTCGTTGCCGTGATCCTTTCTGCCTGTGCCAGGTTGAACAGCAACTCCCAAATCTTTCTCAGGAGCAGCGGCAGCGATTGGAGGAGTGCGCTTGCATGCTTTCTCTTGCACGCTGCTCACCGATGAGTCACACTCTTGTCCTTTGCCATTTGCAGGAATTTGCCAAGCGACCTAGAACGGCGATTCCATCTCGCCAATAAAATGATAGCAACACTTATTTGAAATACAATACATTTAAATGATTATGTATTATGAACATTAATATTTTTGTTTGATCAAGAGAAACACGTCGGTGCGTCGTGTCATGTCACGCATTATAATACGTTGCTTGGTCGGGTAGGCACGTTACAAATTGTATACTGTTCATGATGTATCTTACACAAAATTACATATGAACTACTATACATCTATATGTGTATGTACATGTATAGATATGTATATTACGGAACTGAGCTTCTCAAAGATGAAGTGAGGAGAAGTCCGTGTTTGTTTTACATGGCACACCTAGAATCAATTGAAGTTCTTTAGAATTATTAGACGTTAAATATTGATATGAACATGCTTATAAAGAATTGGACATGTTGCATTACCTCCAGAGACGATTCGCCATAGGGGCCTTTTCGGCTCGAGGCGTCCTTTTGTGCCGAATGCCTCATGGCCTGCAAATGGTATGCAGGCGATTTGCGGGTCGTGTTTTTTTGTCCGTGTTTTTTGGAGGGTAGCCTCAAACCAAACGGAGTAATTACCGAAAAAACTCGGGCGGTGGGGGGTGTCTATTTGTGTATGTTGTGCTGGTATTTCTCAAATCCGAGCTTCTCAACCTTTCCTTTGTGGAAGCTATCAGATGCAGATACATCAGAACCTTCAAAGCATCGTCGGAGCCGTCCCTCCACAAACAAGGCACCTGACAAGGGGAATTTGCTCTTCCAGGTACCCGTGTACAGGGGCGATGTTAGTGTGAGGAACAAAAAAGGAAGCATGCACAGAAGCAGAAACAAGGCCTTTGTGCGAGGGTGATTCAGAGACCTGTGCAGGGATGCCGGGCATCCATGTTGATTCCAGATCTCAAGCCACACGCCAGGAACCAAACTTTGATGCCGGGTCGCCTATTCTAGGTCCCGCAGTAGTGCCCTTGTGCCCTTTTTTGGTTAGGAGGGTTCCGCTACAAAAATCGACTACAGAAAAAAGAGGGTACCCTTATTCTAACCTCTCTACTGGAGGACCTAGTATTCTTGGTGCCAAGGGAAATCAGCAGGACAACCGTTGCGCCACGAAGAAGGCAAAACAAAAGCACCCGCCCTGGCCACATGAATCCAAGCTAGGGGATGGGTCAGTGCCCTTCTTCGGCCCATTAACAACCCCACAGCTGCCCCAGGGCACCGATTCGTGGATTCGACTCCAGGCCTTTCCCGAGTCTCCGATCCTTTCTGAAGGCCCACGCACGCAGAGTGGCAGGGCAACGAAAAATGGGCGGCTCGTCTCTTTTTTTTGGGGGGGGGGTTGGGCCCAAAATGGCGGCGTCCCTCTTGCTTTCGCTGAAGAAGAACCACCAGTTCGGGGGGGGGGGGCGAAAAAGACACCCAAATGACCTCATGATCAATTGGACGCCTGTGTAATTTTTGTTTGGCCTTACACAAATAGGGCATCTTACTATACTTTCTTTTGAAGGCCTGGCGTTTGATTCGGGCGGTTTCCCCTTTCTTTTCCTCGGGCTTGTTTGGAAGCTTCGGGCCCCCGAAAAACGGGTCTTCAGCGGCGCGGAACCGAAGCCGCCAGAACTTTTGATTGAGACAACTCCATTGGTGTTGGGTGTGATGTCCAAGGAAAAGCCAAGCCCCAGCGGGTCTGTAAAGGATATCAAAGGGCAAATAAAAGGGAAATTTGGGGCCACTACTAACGTCCGCGACTGATGTTCTCGAGATTCACCCAGTGTTCGGACTTCTGTGATACCAGGTTCTCATCACGGCTCTAGTTGAAGCATGCAAGTTCTTGGGGTAAGACACGCTCGGGCCCCATGGATTGCTAAATTCCGGCGGGCGTAACGGTTTTGTGCAGGCTCGGGCCGGCAGTTCTTGCAGTTCCTTTCATTGGGGGGGAGATCCCCTAGTTTGGGTTGGTGGATTCTGATTCACAGTATTTTGGAGTGATGGTGAACCCTAGCAGTCTAGCACTATTACAATACGCTGGCATCAAACTCATCCAAGAAGCAGGCTGGAAGGCCCAATTCTCGAATTTGCCGGTTCTCGTTCTCGCACTCTTGAATGGATCCAGAAATACTCAGCAACCAACGAGCATCATACCCACTGGAAACAATTGAGTTGCGGTTTTGTCCCGCTCCAACAAACATGTATAGAGGTGGACATATCAACCGAACACGTAGCACCACACTGCAGCCGCGGAAGGTTCGCGGAAGGGTTGCGTAAGGTGCTCTTTCTTTTTCCGCGGAAGGGACGTGGTTGATGTGCTCTTTCCAGAATTTCAAAATCCTTCGTGTTTGCTTTGATGAGGGGCATGAAAAGGCGAAAAGAGCTGCGCGCAGAACAAAAAACGGATTGCTCCTGAGCAACTTTCGGGAAACGCTGTTGGGTGCTAGGGTCATCCGGAGTAAACCGAATTTATTTGATCGTGCAAGTGAATCCATCGGGTCAAAAGCAGCACAGATTCTCCGAACATCGGGATTTTTCGCGGGATTTTTCGCGCAAGGTTCGCGGAAGGGCGACCCCAATCTTGGGAACAATGGCCCAGCACGACTTGTGGAGCACTTGAGCAGCGCAGGTCTGGCGTGGACACGAAAAAAAACCGCGCGGAAGCTACCTTCCACAATGTGCAGAAACGGGAGTCGGCGGAAGCACTTATACATAGAAATTTGCTCATGGAAGGTACCCTATACACCACAGAAGCCTCGCGGAAGGTTTTGCAGAAGGGTTTGATACGCCAATATGCTAAAGGTAGTCCTGGGGCTGGGAATCAGACACCTTGCTACACAGGACCTGGTCCTTGGTGGATCCTTAGACCCTTAGACCTTTCGGAGTTTATAGTGTTGTTTTCTCCAGTGAATTTTGAGAGGTGTCGGGGCACCTGAACAGAAATGGGGCCATTTTTCTCAAACTGCCTTGAACATAGAGTTTTCCTGGACCCTGAAACTACCCTGACAAGAAGGACATTCCCCCATATGTTGCGTGCAATCGCCAATGTTTGTTTGTCTTTTTGAGGGTCCAGGAAACTTTTTCTTGATGGGCTGATTCACCTTTCCACAGGGTCCCGCGATCTTTGAGCTGGACGATGACGTGTTCGCCTGCTGAAGCAGGCGGGCATCTTTTTCTTGGGGTGGGGGTGGGGGGATGGCCGATTTCGGGGTGTGAAATGTGTCGCGTCCTTTCTTCGCTGGAGTTTGGGGTGGGGATTCGGGTGATTAAGGGTATACCTTTCGGGGTTTCGGGTGCGTGGGACTACCCTCTCTGAGGCAAGAGGTCCAGGTGAGCTGCCTGGCCAAAAACCCGGCGGGCCGTGCTTCGGACGCAGCGATTCCCAGTCCCGTCCGATTTTCTGCAATGCTTTTGCCTTCTGCCCATTTTGTGCCTTTTTCAAAAAGCCCCCCAATGGTGGGAATGGTCCTTTTGGTTGCCAGAAAAAAAAAGGAAAAAAACAAGGAAAGACAGAAGAAAAAAAACACGCAAAGAAGGTACCCTCAAGAAAGACGCCCATTTGCGGACCGTGTGAAAAGCCACAGGAGTTGCCACTAGGTGTTGAAGCCCCAAGGGCACATTCCCGCGTTTTTTCTTGCACCCCTTCTTGGTGACGTCTTCAGGACTGCTCGATCGCTCGGATCGTTTTCTTCTGGGTAATAGGTTTGACACCAACTTGTACGGGTTTCAAAGTCCATGATCACTGGGTGTGGAGGCCAGCCTCTTCAGATTTCAGGGTTCAAAGCAATGATCAATGTTGAGTCAATTGAACATGGGTGTGTTTTGGAGGCTACAAGATTTAAGGGTTCCAACCAAAGATTAATCAAATGAACGGACAGTGCTGGGAGTCCGTTTATTTGGAGAAAACCCTTGGGCGGCCACCTGGTCAAGTTCAAAAAAGCTCAGGTGATATCCCCAACAGCATGTGGTACTCTTTTTAGACCCCGCAGCCCTTGCAGAACCTGGTAGAACCCTGGTTTGGTGGAAGCCTGGTGGAATGCTGGTGGAAGCCTGGTGGAACCCTGGTGGAACCCTTGTGGAACCTTACCTCAGGGCCGCCCCTGGACACTCGGAGCCTATCTGGGCCGAGACCCCAAAGCTTTCAAGCGCTTGGCGGAAACGGAGATGTGCGGCGACAGCTGGAACCTATGCTTAAAGAGGGGGTTGGGGTGTCCATGACCCTACAAACGACGCGGGCCACCATCAAGACCCATTCGAGTCGCCATAGATTGCAGGGAAAAAAAGGTGGTTCCCACTTTGTGGCAAGAAGCCTCTGAAAAGTATCATTGAAGTGGAAAGGCATTTTTTGATAACCCTGGAATATCAAAGTGGTTGGTTGTGCAAATCCCACCATGTATTGCAGATGTCCACCAAATGCCAACCTAACTTCGTGCCTTGCCCTGCCGGTTTTTGCGAAGCCTGGGTTTTGCCGCTCTGTTGCTGCAGGGTGCGTGGAGCTTCGGTCTTTTATGCAAATGAGCAAAACCCAAAACCCTTGGCCAATTTAGAAGGGTTCCTGGCAGGGGCTATGGAGAAAGCCCAACTGTACCTTTGCAGCCATGTTGCTAGCGAAAAGTCAAGTCAACAGTTCCTCAGTATCCAAAAGATCGCCGGCAAGATGCCTCGGGATGGCTGGGTCGCACAGAGAGCCTTGGGTTCCTCAAAAACAGATTGATTCCTGCGATCTCGGATCGTTTTGTTCGGGTTGGCTGTGAAAAAGTGTAGCTTTTCCGGGTTTGCTCTTTTGGCCTTGTGACCAAACCTCAAGGCTCGAAGCATGATGATTGAAGGCTTAGTGTTCTGAAGTGGGAGAACAGCAATGCAAAGGTTAAGCTTCAGACGGTGAAGACCGTTCACTGTCTTTGTCCTTCCGACCAACAGTAGCTAGAACTTTGAAACCTTCAACCCTTTAAACATTTGATTTTCTCTGCCTCGATCTTTAAACCTTCAGCTCGGGGGTCGCCAAGGAGCGAAGGAGCCTGACGTCAGCCGGGGGACCGATAACCGATCGAGCTACCCATGGCCGAGTTGGACCTCGAACCTTTGAACTCCTTTGTTGAACATGTGCGCTTTCCTACTTAGTGGAAAGGCAATCGCCAGCAGCGAGCTTGCGAAACCGAACCAACAAACATGGACAGGCAGTACTGGTAGCACCAAGCCAGCAACTTGAACCGACGCCAGCAACTTGCAAAACCGACAGGAGACCGCTTTGTCTTGTATTGCCCGTTGCTTATTTGGCGGGTATGAGTTTTTGAAGTTCTGGATCTTTGGTGAACATCATGTACACAGGAATTGATGTGCACCAGCCATTTGGAAGAGTTTTGCCAGTAAGACAAAACACGTGTGTGTGTGTGCGCTCATGTGTCTTGTTTTTTGTGTGTGTTTGTGTTTGTGTTTGTGTTTGTGTTTGTGTTTGTGTTTGTGTTTGTGTTTGTGTTTGTGTTTGTGTGTGTGTATGTATTGTTGTTTCTGTGTTTTTGTGTCTGTGCGTGCGTGTGTGATTTGTTTCGTTGTGTCTGTGTGTGTGTGTGTGTGTGTGTGAGGGTGTGTGTGTGTGTGTGTGGTTGTTTTTTGGGGTTGCCATATTGATCAACCCTCTCATGACTCGTGCAAATCGGCGTAGCGCCCAGTCGCAAAGGCTGTTGTCGCAGGCGCAGGCAGCTTTAAGCATTTCAGAAATCGAAGCCTCTATTGTGTTACGTGCCGAATCGTGTAGACGGCTTCTGTTGTGCATCTCGTCTCATGTCTCAGAAGACAAGGTGGAAGCATTGGCAACTTCGGAGATTTCCGAAATCTCGGCCGCCTAAACAAATCGACGGTTGGAGCTTGCGGGTCCAGGTGTTGGGCCCGACTTGCGATCACAATGGCCGGGGATTCGGTGAGTTGAACCGGAGCCCTTGATCTGAGCGTGATCGGTTTGAGCGCGATCGGGCTTTTCGTTGGAGCGATCGCAAGGCGTTGTTTTTGTGATGAGTGTGGTCAAAAGATCTCTTGGCAACGGGAGTGCTTGTCAACCTAAGGATTCTCAGTAGGTGTCCATACTGGGAACAATATGTATAGATGTTGGAACAAAAATCAAGGTAAAGCCTCCTTTTTAAGTCAGATGCGCAAGATGAACCACACCCACCCGTCGTTGTGCTTCCACGTGTTTTGCCGAGCTTCCGGAGAGCTACTTCCGACAAACCCCCGCTTCCAGTGAGGCGAAGTGCTGAGCCCCCCCGGGCGATAAATGGGTGTGGCTCAAAATTAAACAGAAATAGTTTTGCAGGTGGTTGTCTTTGGTTTCATTTGCTAAGGTTTTTGGCACATGTTTTTGGCCCGCAGCCAAATGGCTCTGGGTGTGTCTTTGGTTGAGGGTACCCTGGTATTGGCCTTCGCTCCACGTCTTCAATCCTGGGTTCACCGAAGTCTTTCATCAGAGGTGCCAAGTTTCCAACTTAGAGGACCTGAGAACGCGAAGGAACCAGCGGATTTCTGTAAGTGGCATGGACAACTAGCAAGGAAGCCGACTGGCTATTTGGATCTTTCAACTGAACATATATGTTTCCTTTGGTACGTTGTGATCCGGTTTACCAAAGTGGAGATTATAATACTCCCCCAATTTGTTCATGTTGCCGTTGTACTCGGATGGCATCGCCATCCGCCGTGGGAGCACTGGGTACATCCCCTCGCTTGTTTTCCCCCGAACGCACCAACAGCAAGGGGAAGGCCAGTGTTGCCGGCAAAGTTTCCTTCAGGCCAAAAGGTTCGGCCTTCCGATTCGCTAGAATGGGGCCAAAGTGGGGAGCCGCAGGGCGTCAGCCTGCGTGTCTCGGATGTCTTGAAGGCCCCTGATGCCCCGGACAAACCGACCGATGAGATCCAGTGTGGCTTTGGTGGCGTGAGTGTAGCTCCGTTGGGGCGTTGCCTTTTGACCATTAATTTATACAAGTAATTTTGGGAAAGGCGTCAGAGGTGAGACATCTCAGGGCCACTGCAGCGATCAGCAGTGGCCACGCCTTGCCGCGAACACTGAGGCTTCAAGCTCCGTATGGCGAGTCTGAGAGGCTCATGGCAGCGGTTCGGGCACACAGTGTGATCTCTCAGAAACGTGACACTCAAGACATGTTTTGGCCCCGGGTCGCGGCTTCGACGGCCCTCTGAGTCTTGTGCGTAGTTGTGAATGGCAGCACAAGGGAACTCAGAAGGTTTTTCTGATGCGTAAATGTGGTAGATGTTCAGGTGTATTCGACTTGCCAACTGTCTGATCTGTCTTCAATGTCTCGCAAAATGCAGGAGAGCCTCCGTCAGATTTGGCACATGGTACCTTACCATGCCTTTAAAACCTCAAATTATCACGTATGACATTCTCACTTTGCGTGAAGTACAGCTGCCCAGACTTTGCACCGAGGTTACCGAGCGCCTGCAGGAGGTGCAGAGGTGCAGGCGGCAACTTTGAGAGAGCGAAAGCATTGCGCCGGATGTTCACCTTCAGTGCCTACATCAGCTTTCTACCCGTCAGGTTACAGTTTGCTTACCCTCTTGGTTGGCTACCAAGCTGCGTGCGGGCTGCAAAGTCAAAGTTCTCTCGGGCGAAGAGGAGCGGGTTAGTGCGGGTCGCTCGTTGCGCGGGAGCTTCAGAGGACCCGCGCGTGTGGCCTCAGAAATTTTGGCAGAGCCGCAGCAAAGTGGCGTTTTTCACAGGCTTGGTGCCGTTAGGGTTAGAACTTTCTCGAGTTTCAAGACGCATGCGGCCTTTATAAACTGCGGTTCGTGTGAGGCATGGCACATCTTTGCTTTGCGCAGGCAGGCGGGCTCAGCGTGCCGGCGCAACCGCAGCCGCACCCTTCGATACCAGCGCTCGAGCTGGGACCGGGCGGCGGCGAGTGGAACGGAGACGCGGCCACGGCCCCATGGAGCTGGGCGATGCTGAAAAAGAGCTTGGCGCTCCATGTGGCGTTTCAGAGAAGCCTTGTTTGCTCCAGGAAGGTCGTGCAATCCAGGGCCTCAGTTCCAGAGCTTTGGCCGTAGACTAAAAGGCGACGAGTTTGACGTGTGCCCTGACACCGCAGCCATCACAGCTGTCCCTTTTGCGCAGCACGTTTGCTTCAACATGTCGCCATTTGTGGCACGGTGCCTGCTGGCAGTTGCCACGACTGTCACGGCCAACGATCAAGCGGCGCAGCCCTTTTTTGTGAAGACATTGACAGGCGCGCGAATTCTGGGGGGCGGGGGGGGTGCTTCTGGGTTGCCTGTCGTGTCAGTTACACAGTTACACGCCGCTTCAAATTCTGCGTCCTTGCCCTTGCGCGAGTAAGCCACGTTCTGGCTCACTCGCAGTCGAAGGTTGTCACATCCCTAGCCTTCAGCAAGCCTGCGGTATGCGTGTGCCGCTGCTTCAGTGGGTCTTCCAACAAGCAACCGCTGGTAGGGTCTTGCAACCTGAAGTAGTTGAAGTCCGTAAAGTGCAAGGGCCTCAATGTCAAACATATGTCCAGCGCTGCATCACCCCAGGCTTCTGAAACCTATGCGTCAAGTTCATGGGGCTGAGGGATTCAGGCTGCTGAGCTTAGGTCATGTCAGATGCTGTAAGAGTGATGCAAGGCTGAGTCTTGGAATGGGTTGGACTCCAGGCTTCATTGCCAGGCTTACGCAAGCCCCGCAGAAGGGCAACACGAGAGTCGGACAGACGGCAAGGTTGATCTAAACACTGTTGAAGGCATGACATGGATATATATATATATATATATATGGATGGTCACCCCGCCCCCCAGGGCCTACCTTTGCCCTCTTCTAGTTGAAGGTGTCAACTCTACTCTGTGTGCCTCTTTCTTGCAGATGCCTGAAAACACTGTAAAATATAGTATTTTTGTTGTTTTTTACCTTCTATATGACAGCAGATGTCTGATTATTTGAGGCTTGAAAGGCAGCAAAGCGAAAACGGATTCCGTTTTCAGATTCGAGCCTGGCTTTGATTGAATCACTGGTTTTTACAGTGGTTTTGAGTACACCAGGGAAAAACATTGAAAACATGATGTTTTTGGCAGCTTTGAGCTCTGCAACCTGCACAGACCCAAAAGCACAAAATCTCCTGAAAATGAAAGCTCTGAGACCTGCACATGCCAAACACATCTCCAGACCAAGTTTGGGAGTCTGGGGATATGTGCCCTTTATTTGTTTAGCCACATTTAAGCTAAATCATATTTGGGAATGAGTTACTATTAAAATTTGTTTGCAAAGGCCAAGTGATTTCTTTCCAGAATAAGCTATATTCCAATTCAAGTTGCATTTGGGGATGGATTCTTGATTAAATTATTATGTTCAAAAGCTAATTGAATTCTGTCTGCATTAAAGTATATTTGGATTCTACTGCAATGATATTTTCCTTATTTGGAAAGGTATTCCTGTTCAAATTCTGATCTAATATAGACATTATGGTGAATTATGAATGGTGCTGAACTATGTGCTTACTAAATTCTATTCAATATACAAATTCAATTCGGATCAAACTCGTATTTGGAAAGGAATGTGTACTTGGATATGTTTGACTCCAGGCTCCAAATTATGAGGCTTGGAGAATCCAACATTAGACATTTCGAGGATTCTGATCTCCAGATTCTAGGTTTCAGGTGTTTCAAATTGGACATTTCAAGGGATTAGAGATCCAACAAAATGCTGTAAAACACAGTGTTTTGCAGCAGTTGCTCAGATTGTGTTCCCTTGGACCGAAGATTGTTTTCCCCAAACAATAGTTTTCCCTTCAACATTCCAATTCAATTCGCAGTATTTGGAAAGGAATCTATATTTAAAAAATTTGGAGGACTCCCAGCTCCAAATTATGAGGCTTGGAGAATCCACCATTGGACATCTCGAGGATTCTGATCTCCAGATTCTAGGTTTCAGGTGCTTCACCACGGACATTTCAATGGATTGCAGGTCCAACAAAAAACTGTAAAACAAAGTGTTTTGAAGAAATTGCTCAGATTGTGTTCCCTTGGGCCGAAGATTGTTCATTTCCCAAACAGCATTTTGCCCCCTTCAACATTCCCATTCAATTCGTGTTGGAGTACTCCAGGCTCCAAATTATGAGGCTTGGAGAATCCAACATTAGACATTTCGAGGATTCTGATCTCCAGATTCTAGGTTTCAGGTGTTTCAAATTGGACATTTCAAGGGATTAGAGATCCAACAAAATGCTGTAAAACACAGTGTTTTGCAGCAGTTGCTCAGATTGTGTTCCCTTGGACCGAATGGACAGCCTTTGATATAACAGTGCAGCAGTGATGACACACACACACAATCATCAACCTTTTAGGACCACATGCCCAAACGACATCAAACAAGGCCTCAAATGAGTGTCCTTTTTTTCCCAAACAACTGTCTCCACTTGCTACGCAATAGGCCTACAGAAGGTTTATAAACTTTCAGGAAAGTTTATAAACCTTATTGAGTGTTTGATGAGTTTCCCGCGTCAAGGCAACAACACCCTACGAAGTGTTCATGGTATCGTTGAAGAAGGATGGGGGGGGGGGGTTGGTTGGAAGTCTTGGGGGGGAGGGGGGGGGGGGGGTGGTTGGGAGTCTTAGCAGTGAGGTGTGACTCAGCCAACTTTGTAAAGACTTCTCAGTACCCCCCCCCCCCCCGTAAAGAGTTCTGACCCCCCCCTGCCCTTGTTGCAGGGAAACCGTCAAACCCTTGACATGGTTTATAAACTGTCTTGAAAGTTTGTAAACTCTTTGCTGTTGTTACTCAACATGACTTGTCACCCACAAGAGTATATGCAGCAACAGCACACTTCTTGCGTATATATGCTCACACCCCCTGTTTGTAAAAATAAGAGGGTTTTGTACATTTTGAAGTGGAAAGGTAGGCCCTGGGGGGGTGAGCATATATATATATATATATTGTTTGCAAGATTCTACGAATTGAGAGCGGTTGAGTTCCGAGGGAGGGGTTGGCGAAGAATGCATTTTTGTGAAAACGCTTACCATGTTCGCCGTAATTTTAGAAATGAGACTCAGGGTCTACAAAATTGAATGCCATGAAGAAACATGAGCCTGAAGGAAGTCACTCACCCAGTCCCAAATCTATTGTTGAGACCCTTTTTTGTATGTCCCCTGATGTATTTCCAACAATTTATCAGACCCCTCCTTTCCCTCCCAGCCTCGGCCTGGCCCCCGGGCCCTCGAAGCGCGCAGCTCTCCGGGTCCGGCGTGCCCCCCTCCCGCCTCGGAGGCCCCACACGTCCTGTCTCGTCGGTGGCCGCGGACTTCGGCCGGCTCCGTGCGGTGTCCGGCAGCGGCGACGGCACCCTGAAGGCCCCGGTCGGGTGCGAAGTGCGAGGCGTCCGCGCTGCGCGTTGACCCCGAAGGTCTGGGACCTCGGCACCGGGGAGTGCCTGCAAACACTTCGAGGCGGCGATGAGGTTCATTGAGATTCAGGTCTTTCTCTCTGTCTCTCTCTCTCTCTCCCTCTCTCTCTCTTTTTCGCTCTCTCTTTCTCTTTCTCTTTCTCTTTCTCTTTCTCTTTCTCTTTCTCTTTCTCTTTCTCTTTCTCTCTCTCTCTGTCTGTTCGGGGACTTGATGTTTGCCTCTCACGCTTCCGTTTGAAACCATGCGTGACGTATATATGTGTCCCAAGGGCTTAGGCATGCTGACCTTGGATCAGTGTCATGTCAGATGTTGCTTCCCCCCAGAGTGTTGCAAGAGTCTGGCTATGGTTTGGGATCTTTGCTTGGCGGGTTTTTCAGGAGAACGAGTTGGTAAGAGATGGAAGCACTGACGAGGAGGAATCCGCAGAGGTGGAGGCAAGCTATTCTGCACACCTTCAGCAGCCACGACGTGGTTTCCACTGCGCGTCTGAAACATGTCTTGATATCCCCCGCACTAAGTAAATTACTCGCTGAAGAGATTCCCCCACTTCAAGACCCTTTCAGCCCGAACTCAAGTTGGAGCCGGGGAGCGTGCTCGACAGAGACTGGAACTCTTGGCGTGCTGGCCCCGTACTGCCTGACGCACGGATGGCTCAGAATAGCAAACAAATGGAAACACTATAGCAGACAAGTGCGCAAAATGCCATTTGAACAACTTAATTAAGGCGTATCGAGGCCCTCCCTTTGAAGGCTTCGTTGGGATGCCCATTTCTTGATATTTCACTCTCCGACGACGCAAGAATTATTGTCTCATAAAATCGTGTTCCGTTTGGGGGGTTGAGCTCTATCCGCCCGCACCGAATGCCTTTCTTTTTGGAAAGCGTTTTTGTGGCTTACCGCAGTTTCTCTCACTCTTTGGCATTGCTGGTTATATGTTTGTTTTCCGTTAGCTTCTGGATTTGTGATTTCGAGAAATAATCGTTCAACTTACTGGTCATTTTTCTAGGACGTGATCCTACCTTTACCTTTATTCTACATACGCCTTTGCTTCCTTCAAAGGAAAGTTTGCCACGCGTCTTTATGTAGGGCATTGCATTTGATTCGAAGAACGATTGCAAAGGCGGGGGTGGCTGAGTCCTTCAACGGTGTCAAAAAGGAGCAAGCGGGTTCAGAACAGGTGGTTGCTCGAGTTGCTTTGCCCGACCGAAGACATTAATTGACGGCAGGGAAGTCCCGCTACGGATCCAATTTCAATCAACAGCGTATGACAATTGAAAGGCTGTGCACGGATTCTCCCCTCCCAAAGAACTCGCATTTCTTTGCATATGTTGGGTTGCCCTGGGTTGCTAGGATTTCCTGAATTTCTGGATTTCCCCCTAGTTCTGATATTGATTGACGGGCGGTTGAGTTCTGAGGGAGTGGTTGGTGAGGAATGCATTATTTTTGTGAAAACACTTACCATGTTCGCCGAGTAACTTGAGAAATGAGACTGAGGGTCTACAAAATTGAATGCCATGAAGAAACATGAGCCTGAAGGAAGTCGGGACTCACCCAGTCCCAAATCTATTGTTGAGACCCCTCTTTGTATGTCCCCTGATTTATTTCCAACAAATTTTCAGACGACACCTTTCCCTGGCCCCCGGGCCCTGGAAGCGCGCAGCTCTCCGGGTCCGGCGTGCCCCCCTCCCGCCTCGGAGGCCACACGAATTGGGTCGAAGCGGTGGCCGCGGACTTCGGCCGGCTCCGTGCGGTGTCGGGCAGCTCCGACAAGTCCCTGAAGGCCCCGGCCGGGTGCGAAGTGCGAGGCGTCCGCGCTGCGCGTTGACCCCGAAGGTCTGGGACCTCAGGACCGGGGAGTGCCTGCACACGCTTCGAGGCGGCGATGAGGTTCATTGAGATTCAGGTCTTTCTGTCTCTCTCTCTCTCTCTCTCTCTTTGTCTCTCTCTTTCTCGCTCTCTCTTTCTCTTTTTCTGTCTCTTTCTCTTTCTCTTTCTGTTTCTCTTTCTCTTTCTCTTTCTCTCTCTCTCTCTCTCTCTCTGTCTCTTCGAGGGACTTGATGTTTGTCTCTCACGCTTCCGTTTGAAGCCATGCGTGACGTGTACATATATATATATATATGTATGTATATATGTGTGTGTGTGTCTTCCCAAGGACTTAGGCATGCTGACCTTGGATCAGTGTCATGTCAGATGTTGCTTTCCCCCAGAGTGTTGCAAGAGTCTGGCAATGGTTTGGGATCTTTGCTTGGCGGGTTTTTCAGGAGAACGAGGTGATAAGAGATGGAAGCATCTGACGAGGAGGAATCGGCAGAGGTAGAGGCAAGCTATTCTGCACACCTTCAGCAGCCACGACGTGGTTTCCACTGCTCCTCTGAAACATGTCTTGATATCCCCCGCACTAAGTAAATTACTCGCTGAAGAGATTCCCCCACTTCAAGACCCTTTCAGCCCGAACTCAAGTTGGAGCCGGGGAGCGTGCTCAACAGAGACTGGAACTCTTGGCGTGCTGGCCCCGTACTGCCTGACGCCTGATTGATTTTGGCTTCAAAGTATTAGACAAGAGGACGGATGGCTCAGAACAGCAAACAAATGGAAACACTATAGCAAACACGTGCGCAAAATGCCATTGGAACAATGTTAATTACGGCATATATCAAGGCCCTCCCTTTGAAGGCTCCATTGCGATGCGAATTTCTTGATATTTTACTCTCCGACGACGCAAGAATTGTTGTCTCATAAAATCGTGTTCCGTTTGGGGGGTTGAACTCTATCCGCCCGCACCGGATGCCTTTACTATAAGCGTTTTTGTGGCTTACCGCAGTTTCTCTCAATTGTTTGGCATTTCTGGTTATATGTTTGTTTCCCGTTAACTTTGGATGTGTACTTTCGAGAAAAAATGGTTCAACTTACTGGACATGTGTCTTTGCTTCCTTCAAAGGAAAGTTCACCATGCGTCTTTATGTAGGGCATTGCATTTGATTCGAAGAACGATTGCAAAGGCGGGGGTGGCTGAGTCCTTCAATGGTGTCAAAAAGGTTCAGAACAGGTGTTTGCTGGAGTTGCTTTGCCCGACAGAGAAATTAATTGACGGCAGGGAAGTCCCGCTACGGATCCAATTTCAATCAACAGCGTATGACAATTGAAAGGCTGTGCACGGATTCTCCCCTCCCAAACAACTCGCATTTCTTTGCATATGTTGGGTTGCCCTGGTTTGCTAGGATTATGTGGAGTTTCTGGATTTCCCCCTAGTTCTGATATTGATTGACGGGCGGTTGAGTTCTGAGGGAGTGGTTGGTGAGGAATGCATTATTTTTGTGAAAACACTTACCATGTTCGCCGAGTAACTTGAGAAATGAGACTGAGGGTCTACAAAATTGAATGCCATGAAGAAACATGAGCCTGAAGGAAGTCGGGACTCACCCAGTCCCAAATCTATCAGTCCCAAATCTATTGTTGAGACCCCTCTTTGTATGTCCCCTGATTTATTTCCAACAAATTATCAGACCCCTCCTTTCCCTCCCGGCCTCGGCCTGGCCCTCGGGCCCTCGAAGCGCGCAGCTCTCCGGGTCCGGCGTGCCCCCCTCCCGCCTCGGAGGCCACACGCGTCTTGTCAGAGCGGTGGCCGCGGACTTCGGCCGGCTCCGTGCGGTGTCCGGCAGCTCCGACAAGTCCCTGAAGGCCCTGGCCGGGTGCGAAGTGCGAGGCGTCCGCGCTGCGCGTTGACCCCGAAGGTCTGGGACCTCGGCACCGGGGAGTGCCTGCACACGCTTCGAGGCGACGATGAGGTTCATTGAGATTCAGGTCTTTCTCTCTGTCTCTCTCTCTTTCGCTCTCTCTTTCTCTTTCTGTCTCTTTCTCTCTCTTTTTCTCTTTTTCTTTCTCTTTCCCTTTCTCCCTCTCTCTCTCTCTCTCTCTCTCTCTCTTTCTGTCTCTTTCTCTCTCTCTCTCTCTCTCTCTGTCTCTTCGGGGACTTGATGTTTGTCTCTCACGCTTCCGTTTGAAACCATGCGTGACGTATATATGTGTCTTCCCAAGGACTTAGGCATGCTGACCTTGGATCAGTGTCATGTCAGATGTTGCTTTCCCCCAGAGTGTTGCAAGAGTGTGGCTATGGTTTGGGATCTTTGCTTGGCGGGTTTTTCAGGAGAACGAGTTGGTAAGAGATGGAAGCACTGACGAGGAGGAATCCGCAGAGGTGGAGGCAAGCTGTTCTGCACACCTTCAAAAGCCACGACGTGGTTTCCACTGCTCCTCTGAAACATGTCTTGATATCCCCCGCAATTACTTGCCCTCTTCCACTTGAGTTCTTGAGTTCAAAATTATGATAGTTTGAAGAGATTCCCCCACTTCAAGACCCCTTCAGCCCGAAATCAAATTGGAGCCGGGGAGCGTGCTCGACAGAGACTGGAACTCTTGGCGTGCTGGCCCCGTACTGCCTGACGTCTGATTGATTTTGGCTTCAAAGTATTAGACAAGAGGACGGATGGCTCAGAACAGCAAACAAAGTGAGCAAAATGCCATTTGAACAATGTTAATTACGGCATATATCAAGGCCCTCCCTTTGAAGGCTCCATTGGGATGCCCATTGTTTGATATTTTACTCTCCGACGACGCAAGAATTGTTGTTTTATAAAATCGTGTTCCGTTTGGGGGGTTGAACTCTATCCGCCCGCACCGAATGCCTTTATTGTTGGAAAGCGTTTTTGTGGCTTACCGCAGTTTCTCTCACTCTTTGGCATTTCTGGTTATATGTTTGTTTCCCGTTAACTTTTGGATGTGTACTTTCAAGAAAAATGGTTCAACTTACTGGTCATCTTTCTAGGACTGCCTTTATTCTAATTACATGTGTCTTTGCTTCCTTCAAAGGAAAGTTCGCCATGCGTCTTTATGTAGGGCATTGCATTTGATTCGAAGAACGATTGCAAAGGGCGGGGGGTGGCTGAGTCCTTCAATGGTGTCAAAAAGGTTCAGAACAGGTGTTTGCTGGAGTTGCTTTGCCCGACAGAGAAATTAATTGACGGCAGGGAAGTCCCGCTACGGATCCAATTTCAATCAACAGCGTATGACAATTGAAAGGCTGTGCACGGATTCTCCCCTCCCAAAGAACTCGCATTTCTTTGCATATGTTGGGTTGCCCTGGTTTGCTAGGAGTTCCTGGAGTTTCTGGATTTCCCCCTAGTTCTGATATTGATTGACGGGCGGTTGAGTTCTGAGGGAGTGGTTGGTGAGGCATGCATTCTTTTTGTGAAAACACTTACCATGTTCGCCGTGTAATTTTAGAAATGAGACTCAGCGGGGGTCCGCAGAATTGAATGCCATGAAGAAACATGATCCTGAAGGAAGTCGGGACTCACCGACTCACCCAGTCCCAAATCTATTGTTGAGACCCCTCTTTGTATGTCCCCTGATTTATTTCCAACAAATTTTCAGACGACACCTTTCCCTGGCCCCCGGGCCCTGGAAGCGCGCAGCTCTCCGGGTCCGGCGTGCCCCCCTCCCGCCTCGGAGGCCACACGCGTATTGTCTGGTCGGTGGCCGCGGACTTCGACCGGCTCCGTGCGGTGTCGGGCAGCACAGACCACACCCTGAAGGCCCCGGCCGGGTGCGAAGTGCGAGGCGTCCGCGCTGCGCGTTGACCCCGAAGGTCTGGGACCTCGGCACCGGGCAGTGCCTGCACACGCTTCGAGGCGGCGATGACGTTCATTGAGATTCAGGTTTTTCTCTCTGTCTCTCTCTTTCTCGCTCTCTCTCTCTCTCTCTCTCTCTCTCTCTTTTTCTCTTTCTCTTCCTCTTTCTCTTTCTCTGCCTCTTCGAGGGACTTGATGTTTGTCTCTCACGCTTCCGTTTGAAACCATGCGTGACGTAAACATATATATGTCTCTTCCCAAGAACTTTGGCATGCCGACCTTGTAGTGTCATGTCAGATGTTGCTTCCCCCCAGAGTGTTGCAAGAGTCTGGGAATGGTTTGGGATCTTTGCTTGGCGGGCTTTTCAGGAGAACGAGGTGATAAGAGATGGAAGCATCTGACGTGGAGGAATCGGCAGAGGTAGAGGCAAGCTATTCTGAACACCTTCAGCAGCCACGACGTGGTTTCCACTGCGCGTCTGAAACATGTCTTCATATCCCCCGCACTAAGTAAATTACTCGCTGAAGAGATTCCCCCACTTCAAGACCCTTTCAGCCCGAACTCAAGTTGGAGCCGGGGAGCGTGCTCGACAGAGACTGGAACTCTTGGTGTGCTGGCCCCGTACTGCCTGACGCCTGATTGATTTTGGCTTCAAAGTATTAGACAAGAGGACGGATGGCTCAGAACAGCAAACAAATGGAAACACTATAGCAAACAAGTGCGCAAATGCCATTTGAACAATGTTAATTATGGCATATATCAAGGCCCTCCCTTTGAAGGCTTCATTGGGATGCCCATTTCTTGATATTTTACTCTCCGACGACGCAAGAATTATTGTCTCATAGAATCGTGTTCTGTTTGGGGGGGTTGAACTCTATCCGCCCGCACCGAATGCCTTTATTGTTGGAAAGCGTTTTTGTGGCTTACCGCAGTTTGTGTCACTTGTTGGCATTTCTAGTTATATGGTTGTTTCCCGTTAACTTTTGGATGTGTACTTTCGAGAAAAAATGGTTCAACTTACTGGTCATCTTTCTAGGACTACCTTTATTCTAATTACATGTGTCTTTGCCTCCTTCAAAGGAAAGTTCGCCATGCGTCTTTATGTAGGGCATTGCATTTGATTCGAAGAACGATTGCAAAGGCGGGGGGTGGCTGAGTCCTTCAATGGTGTCAAAAAGGTTCAGAACAGGTGTTTGCTGGAGTTGCTTTGCCCGACAGAGAAATTAATTGACGGCAGGGAAGTCCCGCTACGGATCCAATTTCAATCAACAGCGTATGACAATTGAAAGGCTGTGCACGGATTCTCCCCTCCCAAAGAACTCGCATTTCTTTGCATATGTTGGGTTGCCCTGGTTTGCTAGGAGTTCCTGGAGTTTCTGGATTTCCCCCTAGTTCTGATATTGATTGACGGGCGGTTGAGTTCTGAGGGAGTGGTTGGTGAGGAATGCATTCTTTTTGTGAAAACACTTACCATGTTCGCCGTGTAATTTTAGAAATGAGACTCAGCGGGGGTCCGCAGAATTGAATGCCATGAAGAAACATGATCCTGAAGGAAGTCGGGACTCACCCAGTCCCAAATCTATTGTTGAGACCCCTCTTTGTATGTCCCCTGATTTATTTCCAACAAATTTTCAGACGACACCTTTCCCTGGCCCCCGGGCCCTGGAAGCGCGCAGCTCTCCGGGTCCGGCGTGCCCCCCTCCCGCCTCGGAGGCCACGCGGGTTCTGTCTCGTCGGTGGCCGCGGACTTCGGCCGGCTCCGTGCGATGTCCGGCAGCGGCGACGGCACCCTGAAGGCCCCGGTCGGGTGCGAAGTGCGAGGCGTCCGCGCTGCGCGTTGACCCCGAAGGTCTGGGACCTCGGCACCGGGGAGTGCCTGCACACGCTTCAAGGCGGCGATGAGGTTCATTGAGATTCAGGTCTTTCTCTCTCTCTCTCTCTCTTTGTCTTTCTCTCTCTTTCTCGCTCTCTCCTCTCTTTCTCTTTTTCTTTCTCTTTCTCTTTTTCTTTCTCTTTCTCTTTCTCTTTCTGTTTCTCTTTCTCTTTCTCTTTCTCTTTCTCTCTCTCTCTCTGTCTCTTCGGGGACTTGATGTTTGTCTCTCACGCTTCCGTTTGAAACCACGTGACGTATATATGCGTGACGCTTATATATGTGTCTTTGCTGTCCTTGGATCAGTGTCATGTCAGATGTTGCTTCCCCCCAGAGTGTTGCAAGAGTCTGGCTATGGTTTGGGATCTTTGCTTGGCGGGTTTTTCAGGAGAACGAGTTGGTAAGAGATGGAAGCATCTGACGAGGAGGAATCGGCAGAGGTAGAGGCAAGCTATTCTGCACACCTTCAGCAGCCACGACGTGGTTTCCACTGCGCGTCTGAAGCATGTCTTGATATCCCCCGCACTAAGTAAATTACTCGCTGAAGAGATTCCCCCACTTCAAGACCCTTTCAGCCCGAACTCAAGTTGGAGCCGGGGAGCGTGCTCGACAGAGACTGGAACTCTTGGTGTGCTGGCCCCGTACTGCCTGACGCCTGATTGATTTTGGCTTCAAAGTATTAGACAAGAGGACGGATGGCTCAGAACAGCAAACAAATGGAAACACTATAGCAAACATGTGCGCAAAATGCCATTTGAACAATGTTAATTACGGCATATATCAAGGCCCTCCCTTTGAAGGCTTCATTGGGATGCCCATTTCTTGATATTTTACTCTCCGACGACGCAAGAATTATTGTCTCATAGAATCGTGTTCTGTTTGGGGGGGTTGAACTCTATCCGCCCGCACCGAATGCCTTTATTGTTGGAAAGCGTTTTTGTGGCTTACCGCAGTTTGTGTCACTTGTTGGCATTTCTAGTTATATGGTTGTTTCCCGTTAACTTTTGGATGTGTACTTTCGAGAAAAAATGGTTCAACTTACTGGTCATCTTTCTAGGACTACCTTTATTCTAATTACATGTGTCTTTGCCTCCTTCAAAGGAAAGTTCGCCATGCGTCTTTATGTAGGGCATTGCATTTGATTCGAAGAACGATTGCAAAGGCGGGGGGTGGCTGAGTCCTTCAATGGTGTCAAAAAGGTTCAGAACAGGTGTTTGCTGGAGTTGCTTTGCCCGACAGAGAAATTAATTGACGGCAGGGAAGTCCCGCTACGGATCCAATTTCAATCAACAGCGTATGACAATTGAAAGGCTGTGCACGGATTCTCCCCTCCCAAAGAACTCGCATTTCTTTGCATATGTTGGGTTGCCCTGGTTTGCTAGGAGTTCCTGGAGTTTCTGGATTTCCCCCTAGTTCTGATATTGATTGACGGGCGGTTGAGTTCTGAGGGAGTGGTTGGTGAGGAATGCATTCTTTTTGTGAAAACACTTACCATGTTCGCCGTGTAATTTTAGAAATGAGACTCAGCGGGGGTCCGCAGAATTGAATGCCATGAAGAAACATGATCCTGAAGGAAGTCGGGACTCACCCAGTCCCAAATCTATTGTTGAGACCCCTCTTTGTATGTCCCCTGATTTATTTCCAACAAATTTTCAGACGACACCTTTCCCTGGCCCCCGGGCCCTGGAAGCGCGCAGCTCTCCGGGTCCGGCGTGCCCCCCTCCCGCCTCGGAGGCCACGCGGGTTCTGTCTCGTCGGTGGCCGCGGACTTCGGCCGGCTCCGTGCGATGTCCGGCAGCGGCGACGGCACCCTGAAGGCCCCGGTCGGGTGCGAAGTGCGAGGCGTCCGCGCTGCGCGTTGACCCCGAAGGTCTGGGACCTCGGCACCGGGGAGTGCCTGCACACGCTTCAAGGCGGCGATGAGGTTCATTGAGATTCAGGTCTTTCTCTCTCTCTCTCTCTCTTTGTCTTTCTCTCTCTTTCTCGCTCTCTCCTCTCTTTCTCTTTTTCTTTCTCTTTCTCTTTTTCTTTCTCTTTCTCTTTCTCTTTCTGTTTCTCTTTCTCTTTCTCTTTCTCTTTCTCTCTCTCTCTCTGTCTCTTCGGGGACTTGATGTTTGTCTCTCACGCTTCCGTTTGAAACCATGCGTGACGTATATATGTGTCTTTGCTGTCCTTGGATCAGTGTCATGTCAGATGTTGCTTCCCCCCAGAGTGTTGCAAGAGTCTGGCTATGGTTTGGGATCTTTGCTTGGCGGGTTTTTCAGGAGAACGAGTTGGTAAGAGATGGAAGCATCTGACGAGGAGGAATCGGCAGAGGTAGAGGCAAGCTATTCTGCACACCTTCAGCAGCCACGACGTGGTTTCCACTGCGCGTCTGAAGCATGTCTTGATATCCCCCGCACTAAGTAAATTACTCGCTGAAGAGATTCCCCCACTTCAAGACCCTTTCAGCCCGAACTCAAGTTGGAGCCGGGGAGCGTGCTCGACAGAGACTGGAACTCTTGGTGTGCTGGCCCCGTACTGCCTGACGCCTGATTGATTTTGGCTTCAAAGTATTAGACAAGAGGACGGATGGCTCAGAACAGCAAACAAATGGAAACACTATAGCAAACATGTGCGCAAAATGCCATTTGAACAATGTTAATTACGGCATATATCAAGGCCCTCCCTTTGAAGGCTTCATTGGGATGCCCATTTCTTGATATTTTACTCTCCGACGACGCAAGAATTATTGTCTCATAGAATCGTGTTCTGTTTGGGGGGGTTGAACTCTATCCGCCCGCACCGAATGCCTTTATTGTTGGAAAGCGTTTTTGTGGCTTACCGCAGTTTGTGTCACTTGTTGGCATTTCTAGTTATATGTTTGTTTCCCGTTAACTTTTGGATGTGTACTTTCGAGAAAAATGGTTCAACTTACTGGTCATCTTTCTAGGACTACCTTTATTCTAATTACATATGCCTTTGCTTTTGTTCAAAGGAAAGTTCGCCATGCGTCTTTATGTAGGGCATTGCATTTGATTCGAAGAACGATTGCAAAGGCGGGGGGTGGCTGAGTCCTTCAATGGTGTCAAAAAGGTTCAGAACAGGTGTTTGCTGGAGTTGCTTTGCCCGACAGAGAAATTAATTGACGGCAGGGAAGTCCCGCTACGGATCCAATTTCAATCAACAGCGTATGACAATTGAAAGGCTGTGCACGGATTCTCCCCTCCCAAAGAACTCGCATTTCTTTGCATATGTTGGGTTGCCCTGGTTTGCTAGGAGTTCCTGGAGTTTCTGGATTTCCCCCTAGTTCTGATATTGATTGACGGGCGGTTGAGTTCTGAGGGAGTGGTTGGTGAGGAATGCATTCTTTTTGTGAAAACACTTACCATGTTCGCCGTGTAATTTTAGAAATGAGACTCAGCGGGGGTCCGCAGAATTGAATGCCATGAAGAAACATGATCCTGAAGGAAGTCGGGACTCACCCAGTCCCAAATCTATTGTTGAGACCCCTCTTTGTATGTCCCCTGATTTATTTCCAACAAATTTTCAGACGACACCTTTCCCTGGCCCCCGGGCCCTGGAAGCGCGCAGCTCTCCGGGTCCGGCGTGCCCCCCTCCCGCCTCGGAGGCCACGCGGGTTCTGTCTGGTCGGTGGCCGCGGACTTCGACCGGCTCCGTGCGGTGTCGGGCAGCAAGGACCACACCCTGAAGGCCCCGGCCGGGTGCGAAGTGCGAGGCGTCCGCGCTGCGCGTTGACCCCGAAGGTCTGGGACCTCGGCACCGGGCAGTGCCTGCACACGCTTCGAGGCGGCGATGAGGTTCATTGAGATTCAGGTCTTTCTCTCTCTCTCTCTCTCTTTGTCTTTCTCTCTCTTTCTCTCTTTTTCTCTTTCTCTTCCTCTTTCTCTTTCTCTGCCTCTTCGAGGGACTTGATGTTTGTCTCTCACGCTTCCGTTTGAAACCATGCGTGACGTAAACATATATATGTCTCTTCCCAAGAACTTTGGCATGCCGACCTTGTAGTGTCATGTCAGATGTTGCTTCCCCCCAGAGTGTTGCAAGAGTCTGGGAATGGTTTGGGATCTTGGCTTGGCGGGCTTTTCAGGAGAACGAGGTGATAAGAGATGGAAGCATCTGACGTGGAGGAATCGGCAGAGGTAGAGGCAAGCTATTCTGAACACCTTCAGCAGCCACGACGTGGTTTCCACCGCTCCTCTGAAACATGTCTTGATATCCCCCGCGCTAAGTAAATTACTCGCTGAAGAGATTCCCCCAGTTCAAGACGCCTTCAGCCCGAACTCAAATTGGAGCCGGCGAGCGTGCTCGACAGAGACTAGAACTCTTGGCGTGCTGGCCCCGTACTGCCTGACGCCTGATTGATTTTGGCCTCAAAGTATTAGACAAGAGGACGGATGGCTCAGAACAGCAAACAAATGGAATCACTATAGCAAACATGTGCGCAAAATGCCATTTGAACAATGTTAATTACGGCATATATCAAGGCCCTCCCTTTGAAGGCTCCATTGGGATGCCCATTTCTTGATACTTTACTCTCCGACGACGCAATAATTATTGTCTCATAAAATTGTGTTCTTTTTTGGGGGGGTTGAACTCTATCCGCCCGCACAGTTTCTCTCACTCTTTGGCATTTCTGGTTATATGTGTGGTTTCCGTTAACTTTTGGTTTTGTACTTTCGAGAAAAATATTTCAACTTACTGGTTATTTTTCTAGGACGTGATCCCACCCTTTACCTTTAATCTACATATGCCTTTGCTTTTGTTCAAAGGAAAGTTCGCCATGCGTCTTTATGTAGGGCATTGCATTTGATTCGAAGAACGATTGCAAAGGCGGGGGGTGGCTGAGTCCTTCAATGGTGTCAAAAAGGTTCAGAACAGGTGTTTGCTGGAGTTGCTTTGCCCGACAGAGAAATTAATTGACGGCAGGGAAGTCCCGCTACGGATCCAATTTCAATCAACAGCGTGTGACAATTGAAAGGCTGTGCACGGATTCTCCCCTCCCAAACAACTCGCATTTCTTTGCATATGTTGGGTTGCCCTGGTTTGCTAGGAGTTCCTGGAGTTTCTGGATTTCCCCCTAGTTCTGATATTGATTGACGGGCGGTTGAGTTCTGAGGGAGTGGTTGGTGAGGAATGCATTATTTTTGTGAAAACACTTACCATGTTCGCCGAGTAACTTGAGAAATGAGACTGAGGGTCTACAAAATTGAATGCCATGAAGAAACATGAGCCTGAAGGAAGTCGGGACTCACCCAGTCCCAAATCTATTGTTGAGACCCCTCTTTGTATGTCCCCTGATTTATTTCCAACAAATTTTCAGACGACACCTTTCCCTGGCCCCCGGGCCCTGGAAGCGCGCAGCTCTCCGGGTCCGGCGTGCCCCCCTCCCGCCTCGGAGGCCACACGGATTGGGTCAGAGCGGTGGCCGCGGACTTCCGCCGGCTCCGTGCGGTGTCGGGCAGCTGGGACCACACCCTGAAGGCCCCGGCCGGGTGTGAAGTGCGAGGCGTCCGCGCTGCGCGTTGACCCCGAAGGTCTGGAACATCACAGACGTGGGGCCCCCTTGCATGGGCCTTGTCGCCACGGAGCAGTGCGGGCGAGTGACGGGCTGCTTTCTTCAGAAACATCAGACGCCTGACGCTTGTCAGGCCGTTGCACTACGTGGGGGCTGCAGATTTGTGCAGCGCAGCGTGCGCGTTGAACACCGAGGATGATGCGGCCGCGGAGAACACCGCAACCCAGCCTCTGGGCTGCTACATGCGTGAAGGGCAGCTCTTCTACAACGAGGGTTCCCACGCCGGACAGACCCATTCCGGGTCACAGTCCTTGTGCTGGCCCCAGCCATGGAAACCGGTCTGTACCTGCCCTGGTGGGCGAGCCGGCGTTGATTGCAGTTATGATGGCGAACTCAAGCAGCTCGCCTTCGACGCGAGTCGGGATTTTGTCCTTGCGTTTGCGCTGCGAGTCGGGACGAAATCAAAAACTCAAAGGAAGGGTTATGAACGAAGCCATGGGCAGTTTGGACCGTGCAAGAGAGGAGCCATGGACTGTTTGGGACAGAGGATCCATAACAGGTCTGGGACGCGCGCAATCCGAGGTGCAGACTTCCACCGCCCACCTTGGCGCAGATCGGCGCATGCGTGGGTCTGGCTGCGTGCGCTGCCTTGGCCGCGCTTGGCCTGGACCATGCCTGGGCCAGGTCCCGGGCGCACAGCTACACGGCTTCCCGGCCAAATCGGCCAACGGTTGGATGTTTTGATGCTAACGTCGCGTGCTGAGGACCTCGGTGTGAGTGAGGCAGAGGCCAAGGAGGCCGTCAGTCTGCTGGTCGCTTGGATGTCGGAATTGGGATCCGTTCGCGGGTTTCGGTTTGGCTCCACTGGCTCCAAGTTGCTGAGGAGCAACACCCCGGAGCGCTGCTGCTGGCAGCTCAGTCCCACGCCTCCAACTCGTCGATCATCTTGGCCGGGCTCGCCGTGAACGCGCGGCTTGTGTTCCCGATGCTACTGGCATGGCTGGCTCCGTGGCTGGCTACAGTCGGTGCCTTTGCGGAAATTGCTTGGCTGACGTTCAGACCTCCCGAAAAGTGGTTCTCTGTGCATCACATTTCATGTTCATGTTTGTAAGAATTCGGAGTGTTAGGCTCACATGTTGTGGCAAATGTTTGTCGAGATGCGCTTGTCATTTCGCGCTAAAGGTGTCTTCCGGGACATGAAAATGTTCCTTCTGGTGGCGTTCTGCACCGCGCCAGGCCCTGGAAAGTGCAAAAAAGCTGCGCCTTGATTCGACCGGCTCGCAGGACTTCCAGATCTGGCGTGCAACCTCTGGGAGGGGCGCCGAGCTGCTGCTGAGCCGCAGTAGGCAGTCACTCAGCCCGCTTGATGTGAGCCGGATGCAAGCTTTGCATCAGTTGCTCCGTGCTGGTTTTGAGGCCGACATCGACCTCCTGGACAGCTTCTTCCCTTCGCCGTCCAGGTTTGCGCGTGCGGTGTCATGCGTGCGGACTGCGGCCCTCGTGGCTGTGGTCGGAGCCACCTGCAGCTTGGGCGAACTTTTGCCCTATCCGGCGAATGCCCTGGATCAGGCCGGGGGATCGCGCGCGGAGAGTGGAGTGACAGCGCCGTGCGCAGACCGATGCTCCCAACATCGGCCTGCACCAGCTGCAGATCCTGCACGCTGCTGGACTGGCGGACCAGAGCAAACTGCTACTGTGGGTGGCGCTTCTCTCTGCCATCTTCGCAGTGCTGGACATTGCGCTTCGACTGCGAAATTTCAACGGGTCAGTCGGCTTGAGCTGGAAGTCTGCGCCGAGGCTGTGAGCTTGTGCCCAAAAACCTCTTCGGAAGCAGGAATGGCAGAGTTGGACAAGATCAAAGAGACGGCAGGATTCGGAAGCTGTCATTTGCCGATCTTGTTCCAACCTTACCAGCTCACTGTCTTGAGGAGGGCCTCCGTTTTGTTTCGAACCTGTCAGGAGACCTGGTGAAAAAAAGCAGGGAAGGCGAATCATTCGACGCCGATGATCCGGAAGGCCAGGCCTCTTTGCCTTAGACCTGATGCCGATTGAACGAATTCGCTAGGCCAGACCTGGAGGGACCCCGAGAAGAAGCAGCTGCGGAGGTTTTGGTCCAGTGACGAAGGAGCAAATAAGTAAGAGAGTTGACCAAGTCTGTCCTCACATGCATTCATTCTTTCCCGTCTCATTTGTGCGTAAGCCTACCTTTCAATTAGCGTCCGGAACACGGAAGTTCCTTCTAAACTTCCTTCGACAATATGTGACCCCGTCCAACTCCGACCTACTCAGTCCATCTCGCGCAGGGGTCGCAAAGCTGTGCGGCGCGGCGCTCGCCGGCGGTGTGTTGGGCCTTTGGGCGCTCGGCAGCCTCCGGAGCGCCCGGCCCGGCTTCCAGCTCCGCTTTGGAGCGGCGGATGTCGGCCGCGCAGCAAATATCTCCATCGAGAGCACGGCGGTGCTCCGGGTGGACCCCATCCATGTGCCCGAGACGGACATGGGCGAGGCGGACCATCAAATATTTGTGGTTTCCTGTTGGTTGGGTTTTCCCATTTTGAGAAGTTTTTGAGAGACCAGGTGTCATGGCTATGGGTGGCCCTCCTGGCCGTGATGGTGGCATTGGCCGCAGTGATGTACCACTGCGCGTCAAAGCTGGAGGCAAACGTTGCAGGTGTACTTTGACAGTCGCAATGTTCATGAAAGGTGATTAGAATGCTGTTCCCTTTACCTGGCTTGAAGTCACCCGACAGGCCCGGAAGCGCTTCCACGAGGTTCTGCGAAAATTCCCCGCAAGCGTCCTGATCGAACCGGACGTGGTTATGCTCTTGGCCGACATGGCGCTGGACCTCAACTCCTTCGGGAACTATTTGATGGGGTCGCACCTGTACTTCGCAGGCGTCTCGCTGGCGATTTGGATCTTCACGTTCGCCAAGACCTGCTGTGACCTGGTTCACGTCCCGCAGGCAGGGGCTTAGGAGCCTGCAAGCTTTCGAGGGCTCCGCTCTCGCAGGAGTTCCGGGACAGCTTGCGGAATGGCTTTTACACCCCGGCCTTTATCAGATTTCAGAGGCAAGAAATCAGCGTGGAAGGCGGGAGAGTGACACAGGCGAGTGACACGTGGAGGGCATCGCATGCCAGGTGTCGCTTCTTTGCTTCTGAGTTGCTATGGCCTTCCGTGGGCTGTTTCAAGCTATGCCACGCTGACCTCACAGCTGGTCAACATCGCCCTCAGTCTGCCGACGCCTCAGCCGCTGAAAGAGAAAACGTGCATCCCGAACGCCTCAGGCGCGGCGTCTGCAAGCTGGTGGTGCTCAAAGAGCTGGGCATCTAGGAAACCGACGCGAAGGAACCGGGACACGACGAATTGGCCAAAGCTTTGGGTAAAGAGACCTGTTCGCCTGGTGGACATTAGAATCCCATGTAAAGGACATCCGCAAAAAGCACCCCCCCCCAATTACAAAATGCCCAAATGACCATCCCTTGAGCTTCAAGGCTCCAATTCTGCGCCCGCCTTGTAGAAGTCATTTTTTGGATGTCGGAAATCAGCTTAGCTGTAGTGTGCTTATGGGATGTTGAGCTTCCCAATGGCACGGGTTCCACAGGCGCAAAGTCGCCGAAGAAAATGCTCCTGCTTCTTCCTCCATGTGCACTGGCATGGGTTCCACTTCTGGGCCTGCGCAAAGTCGCCGAAACAAAAAGCTCTTGAACATGTGGCGCGCAAGGCAAGCAGGTGGGCGAGGCCAAGTGTGAGAGTCATTTTGAAAGCCCGCGCACAGCCTCGCGGCCATTTGCAGCGTTGCGGGACACCTCGGAGCGTTGGCCATGGCCCACGTTTCAGGCAGAGGAATACTGCGTGGGGAAGCACTGCATCGCGTGCACGGAGGTCTGTGCACAGCTGAGCCCGGTTGAATGTTATGTCGCTAGCTTCAGGACTTGTGAGAATTACAGCTTTGCCTCACAATGACCTGGAATAAGAAAAGTCAATTCAACAGGAAGACCCATTTGCCCCAATAACCATTTGAGACGTGTTCCATTGCGCGCGCAAACCGCGGGGAGCTCGTGAAAGTTGAGGGATCTTTTCGGTTTGTCTTTTCTTTTTTTTCGCGGAGAGAGAGAGAGAGGGAGGGAGGGAGAGAGAGAGAGAGAGAGAGAGAGAGAGAGAGAGAGAGAGAGAGAGAGAGAGGGGGAGGGAGGGAGGGAGGGAGAGGGAGGGAGAGAGAGATTTCTCTCCACCATTTTCACAAGCGCCATCATTGTCCAACCTTTGCAATCCGCAGTTTGTGACTGCTCCAAGGACCACCGGTGACTGTTGCCATGGTAAATACAAAAAGGACAAGGCAACATGGCACGATGTTTTCTTTGCTTGCCTTCTCACGTCCGACCTTCTGTAGAAGGACGCAGGCGATCCATCCCAAAGGTCGGCTCTTGTCGGACGCGGTTCTCGCGTCAGCCTTTTTCTGCCGCCTTGGTCCTGTGGACGGAGCAAACAAAGGGGAGCGAAGCACCAGCAGTGTTTTCCATTGTCACGACAAGTTGTTGACCGATTCCACCAGCTGAAGTGAAGGGAGCATATGTCAATGTTGGCATTTGGGAGGCAGAGAAGCTGGAAGTGAAACGACCAAACTTGGGTATGGCTCAAGACATTTGTTTGGTCTTCCTTCGATTTCTACAGTTCGTCCCTTTTGCACTTCAAGGGTGCGAGTGAAGAGTTGGGAGCCGAATTGGTTTAGCTTTTGATCCAGGTGCCCGCGCGAGTCGCGAGGGCCACGGCCGGGCTAAATTGCCGGGCGTTGGGGCACCCAACGGGAGTGCGGAAGAAATAGAGGGGCATGTAATCTTTGGTGCATTTTGCTTGGCTGTTAGGACTTTAACTCTTTGCCAGCTAATGGGTTTTCCACTAAACCACTGAAAGTTAAACTTTTAGCAGGGGAGGAGAAAGCAACCGAGTAATCACTCTCAATTGGTTTGACTGGATCAAATTGTTTCAGCGCGAAGACTCCATAAGAAAGGCGACTTTGGCCAATGGTTCCGATTCAGCACATGTTCTAATACTATATAGAACCGTGGTGTGCTTCGGGTTCAACCACTGGCTCTCAGCATTGCAGATTTGTGTGTGTGTGATTGGCGCAGGAATGCGCAAGCGAGGAACATGCCCGCTTTGTTCCCGGTCCACATCTGCAAGCATCAAGTTGTGAAAGAAGAGCAAAAGAAGGGAGCCACTGAAACCGCAGTTCTCCGGTACAGCGTAGAACCGTCATGTCTTCGCAAAGTGCATATATATTATTGGTCGCCAGTCGCCATCAACAGTGTGTGTTTGTCACGAATACGCAACGCGAAGGCTCCTGACCAAGTTACTGGCAAGCAAGTGACCCATGCAAGAATGCTGTGTGTTTTGACGGCGCCTTGTTGGTAGTTTGTGTTTGCTTTTGGTCAAGTAAGTGGACTATAGTGAGCAAAGTAGCGTTGCACAAAGCATTGTCCAGCAGTTTTGACGTCAGCTCGGTTTTGGGGATATGGGTTTCTATGTGAGCTGTTTCGAAGTGAGGCCATCAGACCGATAGTTTCCAAAGGTAGTTGTAGGCGTTCATGTTTAATTTTAGCTTTTTAGACGAGTTTCTAGGTGGGAACCAGCTTTTGGAACACATCAATGTGTTCAAGCTTGTGACCGACGGAGGCTGAGTCAAGGGAAGTCCATGTATATAATATATATATATATATAGATACATATGTTGTATTTGTTTAGGGGGTCCCTTTTTTTGGGGGGAGGGGGGGGGGGGGTTAAAGGGGAAATTGCAGAACAAACACAATTTTTGGGGGTCCCCCCCAAAAAGGTAGACCCATGTAATTTATGTGTATATATATACCTAGACCCTCCAGGTGTGCATTTTTTCTGCTGTTTGCTGAAAAAGCTATATATTGTGTCGTTTGCTCCAAAAAGAGCCTTTTCCTTTTAAAAGTGCTGCTTCAAAATCTTGCCAAAACGTGGTCGGCAAATGTCGCTTTTTGGTCGGGGAATGTCGCCTTTGGGTCGGGCAATGTCGCCTTTTCGTCTTCATCCTGGTTTCGCAAAACAGCAAAATATGCAAAAATGCGCTGAGGCAAAAAAATGCGTCGTTTGCACCAAAAGGAGCCTTTGGCCCAAACAGCACAAAAAAGGCATACTTAGGAGGGCCCAGGTATATATATATATATATATATTCATTCATTTGTTCATTCATTTATTCATTCATTCATTAATTCATTCATTAATTTATTCATTAATTCATTTACTTATTTACTTATTTACTTATTTATTTATGTTTCACTTATTTATTTATTGATTTATTTACAACTTGGATACAATTTTGGTCTAGTTGGGAATTTTTGTTTTTTCTTACGCCGGGTCTACGATTTGCTTACACCTTTTTGCTTTTGTTATACCATCTTGGGGTTTCTCGGAGGGAATTGGTGAACACGCTCCGAATGGTTGGCAGTGGCATTTCTGCAGTCCAAAGGGTCGATCGAAGTTCATGTGGCACACTGCGCATTTTTTCGATCCCAAGGCCAAGGAGAAGAGCTGATCGAGGGGCAGACGACTTCGCGGCCGCTTTCAGTTTAGGCTACTGCGTCAGCGGGTTTTTCGTTTGGGGCGAGAGAGAGTAAGGGAAGGAAACCTTGCTTGCAGGCCCGAGAGCAACCATACAACTGTGACCCCATTTGCGGCTGGTTTTGACAGACAAAAAATCATTTGCGGTTGTTTCCCACGGGAAGTATTTGGCAAATGAAATGATCGAGGCACATCTGATTCATACAGCTGGCTGTGCTGTGTAGTGGCGCCCCTTTGCTCAACTTTAGCCTCCCCTGTTCGTTGGCAGGAAGATTCATGTTGTTCGTTTTCCATCGCCGGGTAATTCGCAACACCTTTAGGCCGTCAACAGTCGCAGGGACTGATTTTCCGGCAGGTTCCCAGCACACGCGCTCAAAGGGACTTTTGTTTGTTTGCGAGGGTTCGGAAATCACATGGAACCCTATCCCTTCCACTAGCATGGCGCCTGATAGAGGGAATTGCTCCCAGGTGCCCAGGTGCAGGTGCGATGCTCGTGCGCGAAACGAAAATAGAAGAAGACGCCTGCACAGAAACATAAACAACCTTACAGAAAAGCCTGGTCCTCCGTGCGTTTTTGTTATGGCACGATTCTGTTTTGGACTGTTTTTTGATCCCCAAACGAGGGGGTGTTATATTTTTGGAAACACTGCAATCAACAGGAAAAACTGCACGTGGTATGGGCCGCTTTCACGCTTCACAGCTTTGCCAAACTGACTCGGGTCTTATCGACACTCTGCACGCTTCTCACCGCTTTGCCAAAGCCCGTCCTGTCAACTGAAGTAAGTCATGGCTGTGGTGTTCCCAACGCCAGTGCCGCGCATGTACAAAAAGAGGTCTCCATTAATCACACCATTTTTGGGTGGAGGGTTTACAAAGGGATCAACTAGCATCTCCAGAAAGGGGGGGGACAATTACAAAATCGCTCCCAGAACTTCTCGCTCAGCGTAGAAGACCTCACGCTCTAACAAACGCCTGCCCACCCCCAGGATTGCACAATGCGTACGAGGAGGAGCGGATGGGTCCGCCATAAAGCCAAGCGCAGCTGCTGCGCAAAACTGCTTGAGCGATTCCATAATTCACCCCCACCCCCCCATCCCCTGAGTCACAAAACGGGGGTACCCTTATCGTAGGAAGCGGTACCTTGTAGTAGTTCAGAGTCTTTCATGGTCCCTGGATCAATTCCGAGAAGTATCCAATATGCTAGTGTTGGATGGAGTTGATTTGGATGTCCCTGGTTTATAGTGGTTTTTACTATGTGGCTGGAGGCGGTCCGCTAAAGCTCCTTTTTCCTTGCACCGCAGGATGCTTAGCACAATTGTGTGAAAAGGAAGAAAGAGGGCCTTGAGCCAAATGCTACGGTTGTGGAAAGGTCAATGCTGAAGCAAAGGAACACAAAGCAGCCACAAATTTATTTTGACCTTTCACACCGAATTACTATTGTAGTGTTGGCTTCTTCGGCTTTGACCGTAGCCATTTGAATTTGTTCGAATGCCGTAGCCTTTGAATGGTGGAAATATAATACTCGTCGCCATAGATTACAGGAGAAAAAATAGGGTGGTCCCCACTTTGTGACAAGAAGCCTCAGCGAAAGTATCATTGAAGTGGAAAGGCGATTTCGACAACCCTGGAATATCAAAGTGGTTGGTTTGTGCAAATCCAACCGTGTGTTTCGGATGTCCACCAAATGCCACAACCTAACTTCGTGCCTTGCCCTACTGGTTTTGACGAAGCCTGGGTTTTGCCTCTCCGTTGCTACAGGGTGCGCAGATCGTTTATGCAAATGAGCAGAGCCCAAAACCCTTGGCCAATTTACAAGGGGT